AGAAATCAATAGTAATACAGTAATAGTAGAGATATTCACACCCCACTTACATCAATGGATAAGTCATCCAACAGAAAATCGACAAGGAAACAGTGGCTTTGAATGACACATTGGACTAGATGGATCTAACAGATATATTCAGATTGTTCCATCCTAAAACAGCAGAATACATTCTTTTCAAATGCATATGGGACATTCTCCAGAACAGGTCACATGTTAGCCACAAAACAAGTCTCAATAAATTCAAAAAGACTGAAATCATATCATGCTTCTTTTCTGACCATAATGTATGAAACTAGAAATCAACCACAAGAAAAAAATTGGAAAGAACACAAATACATGTGTAAGAACATAAATAACATGCTACTGAACAATGGATGGGTCAACCAAGAAACCAAAGAAGAAATCAAAAAATACACATGGAGACAAATGAAAATGAAAACACAACAGTCCAGATTTTGGGGATGCAGTACAAGCTGTTCCAAGAGAGAAGATTATAACAATACAGGCCTACCTCAAGAAGCAAGAAAAGTCTCAAACAAACCTAACCTTACACTAAAGGAGCTAGAAAAAGAACAAACAAAGCCCAGAGACAGTAGAAGAAAGGAAATAATGCCTAGAGTGAAAGAAATGAAATGGAGACAGCATTGTAATATAGCTTGAAGTCTGGATTTGTGATGCCACCAGCTTTGTTTTCTTTTTCAACATTCCTTTGGCTAGTCAGGGTCTTTTTCTGGTTCCATACAAATTTTAGGATTATTTGTTCCAGCTCTGTGAAAAATGTTGATGATATTTTGATAGGGATTGCACTGAATGTGTAGATTGCTCAGGGTAGCATTGACATTTTAACAATATCTGTTCTTCCAATCCATGAGCATGAAATGTTTTTCCATTTCTTTGTGTCTTCCTCAATTTCCTTCGTAAGTGTTCTATAGTTTTCAGAGTACAGATCCTTTACCTGTTTGGTTAGGTTTATTCCTAAGTATCATATGATTCTTGGTGCAATTGTAATGCAATCGATTCCTTAATTTCTCTTTCTTCTGTCTCATTGTTAGTGTATAGAAATGCCACCGATTTTTGTGCATTGATTTTATATCCTGTCATTTTGCTGAATTCCTGTATGAGATCTAGCTATTTGCGGGTGGAGTCTTTTGGGTTTTCCACATAGAGTATCATGTCATCTGCAAAGAGTGAGTTTGACTTCTTCTTTGCCAATTTGGATGCCTTTTATTTCTTTTTGTTGTCTGATGGCTGAGGCTAGGACTTCTAGTACTATGTTCAAGCTCTATTACAAAGTTGTAATCATCAAGACAGTATGGTACTGGCACAAAGACAGATACACAGATCAATGGAACAGAACAGAGAAGCCAGAAATGGACCCTCAACTCTATGTCAACTAATCTTCAACAAAGCAGGAAAGAATATCCAACTGAAAAGAGACAGTCTGTCCAACAAATGGTGTTGGGAGAATTGGACAGCCACATGCAGAAGAATGAAACTGGACCACTTTCTTACACCATATACAAAAATAACCTCAAATGGATGAAAGACCTAAATGTGAAACAGGAATCCATCAAAATCCTGGAGGAGAAAACAGGCAGAAACCTCTTTGACCTCAGCTGTAACAACTTCTTACCAGACACATTGCAGGAGGCAAGGGAAACAAAGGCAAAAGTGAACAACACAAGAAACAGGTGTTGGCAAGGATGTGGGAATGCAAACTTGTTAAGCGTCTGTCTTCGGCTCAGGTCATGATCCCAGGATTCTGGGATCGAGTCCCACATCGGGCTCCCTGCTCAGCAGAGAGCCTGCTTCTCCCTTTCCCTCTGCCTGCTGCTCTGCCTACTTGTGCTCTCTATCTTTCTGTCAAATAAATAAATTTTTTTTAAAATCTTAAAAAAAAAAAAAAGAAACCCTTAAAAGCAACCAGTGAAAAAAAAGACACATTACCTCCAGAAGATTAACATTAAAAAAAAAAGTCTGGGGGTATGGGTGAGAGGAATACTATTTTCAATTTAGCTACACTCTTTCTGTTTGTGTTTATTATCACATACACCTTATCTGTTCAAAACAAATGAAAAACCTCACTTTAATTGAAATTGCTCTGAGAAAATATTTCATCCATCTCAATGAAAACTGACAATCTCAGGTAAGAGATTTTTCTATTTCTTTTCCCACTCTTATTTTCCCTCTCACCCATACCCCCAGACCTCCAGTCCTATATCTGGGAGGCAACCACTTCAACCAGTTTCTTGAGTCTTACACAGCCTTCCCAAGGTGAGCTATCATACACAATCACATACATTTTATTCAAATGGGAGTATACTATCCATACTATTTTCCCTTTGCTTTTATCCCTACTTAAAAATACATCTTAGATGACCTAAATTTTTTTTGCCACCTACTGTGTAGTTTTCTTTTTATTGAAAGTATCTTGCATTTATGATGGATGCTTTCTGGGTTTTGCAAGACATTTTAACGGTAAAGGTTAAATTACTTTTTTACATGAAAGTAGTGTAAAGTTTCCCACATAAGGGGTCACTGATGATGACCTAAAATTTAAAGTACCAGTGTGAACTCTTCGATTTCTAGAATAAATAAATATATTTATAGAGAGAGAGACATACATATATGTCTAATGATAACAGACAAATAAATAAGGGAGAATAGAAAGTTCTACCTTGCAGTAGAATCCCAACTTCTGATTAGTACATGTTCAGAGAGTATTATAGTTGGGAAATCATTATTTTGCATTCAATTTAATAAAGATCATTCCAGGCAAGAATTATCAATAGATATTAAATATAGAAAGGAATCTTTTGAGGAGCAGCATAATTGTATGATCCTAAAATGTTTCTCCAAAGATTCTGTATTAGTTGCAATGGAAACATAATACATTTGAGAAACTGGACAACACCTCAACCAGGGAATCAAAATTAACGTTACCAATGGGTGGGCAGATGAATACTATGTTCTCCACATGTGATACCCTGAGAAGGACATGACATCACTTAAGCAGTATTCCAGCTAGGAATGCATTACCTGAATCAAATCCTGAGAAATCATCACATGAGCCCCAAATAAGGTAGTTGTTTTGTTTTTTTTTAAGGGATTGTATTCTTCAAAAATGCTAATGTCATAAAAGACAAAGAAAGATTGTGGAAATGTTTCAGATTAAAGGAAACTGAAGAGACATAATGACTATATGTACCGTCTGATCGTAAACTAGATCCTCTATATACAAATACACATATACATATTCCATATATGTATAATACATATACTTATATATATCTTTATATGCAAATGTATCTATATATACTACAAATAGAGAAATATACATATTTATATATGTATAATATTAGAGAGAGAAAGAGAGAGATGTATACATCTATAGAGAGAAGCAAATAATAAGTAAATAATAAAGCAAATGGGGATAAAATGTTAACAATAGATGAATGAATCTGGGTAAAGGGCAGAGAATGAATGTTCTTTGTACTAATCTTATTCTTGAAATTTTTCTGAGTTTGAAATTATTTCCAACTAAACAAAAAATATGTATTAGAAACTTTTCTATCACTATAGATTCATCTTACCTATTTTTTCCTTTTTTATGTTTTTTTCTTTTTCAATTGAGATGTAATTTACATCAATAAAATGCACAGATTTAAGGGTATAGTTCAATTAGTTCTGACAACTGTATACACACATGAAACACCATCCAATCAAGATATACATTTCCCTAGATAATTCCCTTGTGCCTCCTTCCAATCAATCTCCACTCCCCCTTACCCATAACAGCAGCCCTCACTGTGATTTTCTAGGTTAGTTTTGCTTCTTCTTAAATGTTATATAAAAACAATCACAGAACATACACTCTTTAATGTCTAATTTCTTTCTTTCAGGAGAATATTTGGAGATGTGTCTATGTTGTTATAATAATCAATACTTCACTCTTTTCTATTGCTTAATGTTATTCCACTATGTGAATATGCCACAATTTCTTTATCCCTTCACATGTTGAAGGACATTCTTGCTTGTACATGCCTTTTTGTGGACATGTGTTTTCATTTCTCTTGGTTGGGTCATAGGTTAGGTGTATGGTAACTGCCACTTGTTTTCACTGTGGTTGTATCATGTCTTATCATTTTTGATGGCTACAAAGTATTTAGTTGATTGTGTAGACCATTATTTATTTAACTACTCCCCTGTTGTTGGTCATTATGGTATTTCTAATCATGTATTCTTATAGTTTGGTAATTAATATCATTGTATATGCAGACTTAAGCACATGTGTGAGAATCTGTAGAATAACTTTTGTAGGAAGGTCAATGAGCGTATATAGTTTAATTTTTGATCAATGCTGCCAGTTAGTCCTTCATATCAGTCATTACCAACTTCATTCTAATCAGCAAAGTATGAACGTGCCGGTTTTCCCCACATCTCTACCAGTTATCGGTAAAATATTTAATCTTGTCATTCTGTTTTCATTTTATGAGTATCACATATTGGTTTTATTTTTACTCTACAGTTGCCTATATTTATCTTAGACCCTTATTTTCTTTTACCCATACTATTACAGTACCTCTCCCTCTTTCAATCACTTTCTACAGTCTAGGACACTCTTTAGATTATTTATATAACTCCAATACCACCTTCCCAAGTCACTCCCCAACTGAAAAACCTTCACTGGATCCCCACTGCCTACTGAATAAAATCCAGACCTCTTATTCTTACACTGAAAACCTATTCCATATTTTCTACTTTTTTTCTTCCAAACAATTATCCTACTTATAGTCCAACAAGAATGGGGCTTCCCTGTGGACCTCACATAAAGTATGTCTTTCCTGTGCCCATGTCTTTACACATGCTGTTCCCTCTATGCATAATGCCCTCTGCTCTCTGCCCATGGAGTCCTACCTTCTTTAGAAACTCAGTTCAAATGCCATCTTCTCCACAGGCCCTGACCAAATGCAGATAAGATGAAAAGTCACACTTACCGGCACTTTCATTTTAAATTCATCTCGATAATATTTAATGCCAATGTCAGTGAATGCCCTCTGGATAAAGTGAGATGGACGAAGGATGAATATGAGCTGCAAGTTTCCTGGAAATGCTACCTGGAAGGATCACAGAAAGTGTCAGGGCAAATGTCACATCCATTGGTCTCCTCTTGCCCAAGATCACAGACAGGAAAGTTTAAGTAGACACCATAGATGCCAAAGAACTAGAGTATCTATCACGGGATTTCAGAGCTGAAAGAGATAGTGTTTGAATAATCCAAACCCCTCCTTAAAAATCATAACAAATCAAAAAAAATATTTCTGATTATAAAAGTATTTCATACTCCTTACAGAAAAAATTGGAAATTAATAAAAGTATACATTAGAAAAAGAAAACCACCAAAACCACCCATGATCTTACAGTCATTTTTAATATTCCAATCTAATTACTTACAGGCTATTTTCTCTGCTGAAATATCTTTATCACGGCTAAATTCATACTGTAGAAATATTTTGTAACCTGCTTTTTCCCTTAATATTATACCATGAGCTTTTATTTCTGTTATTTAAAAATTCTTTGGAAATACTATATTTCGTGGGTGTACAATTTACTTAACCAATCCTTTATTGCTAATGATTTAGGCTTTTTCATACTTTTACACTTATAAATAACACTGAAATAAACATCTTAATCCACATTTTGGAACACTTTCTTTGGATAGTTTCCCAAAAGAATTACTGAGTCAAAGACTTAGTATTTTAATGGTTCCTGATGCATATTATTGCCAAGTAGCTTTCAGGAAGCATTGCCTTCATCTTGAGGCAAGTTCCTGAGAAATGAGATAACTCAGATTCATATAACAACTTAATGGCACAACTGGGACCCCAAGTCTCCCATTGCTCATGGCTTTCTCCCCTTCTAGTGGTTCCCGAAAGCGACCTCCTAAGGGGCTTGTTAAAAAGTAATCTGGTCTTTAGTCTGGAATATTCTGATTCACTAGAACTGGGATGAAGTTCACATACCTATTTTCGACAAGCACCTGAAGAGATTCTGTCTGATTAGAAGCCAGGTTTTGGGATCCCTGTGCTACAGTGTCTTTTACCCATAAAGTGATAATGTAATTCTTGAACAAATTAGGCTCAAGTATTATATTATTCAAGTATTGCCAATGGACCCTGGAAAACCAGAACTCTCTTGAGGCCAGTCCTCTAAAATATTCATGGACACTGTCAAGTGTCTAAAGCCTTAGGACATCAACCACCATTGTATTTATCCCCAAAATAAATCCTATAGCCAAAACTAAGCTAAAGGAACAAAACAACCCATACACAAAAGAAAGGGAGTCTTCCTTTCCCCCAATGTTTGAAATGCAAGCTCCTAAACAGAAGAGGCTTGCATTTTGTTACATCATGGTAAGACAAATGGCTGAGACAATATTTGTATTTCTGGCTGAGGCTCTAGATCTGAAACTCCGTATATGTGCATGTTTGCATGCGTGACTACCTTTGGAAGTAGGCATAAATGAGGCTTGGATTGTCCCTCTTCCATCCCAGCCTCCACACGCACATTATCACCCTACCATATCCCATCCTCTTCAGCCAGTCCCAACTGCCCTAGGGAGCCTGTGCTTTGGTGGAAATGCTGGTAAGGTTGCCCTGAGGTATCTCTGCCTGCTCATGTGATTGAGTTCCCTGGCCTGAGGTCCTTGCAGAGAGAAAGGATACATCGACTTGCCGAAAGGCAACAAACAGGGATGAAAATCAGACTAATTAGATGGAAAAGGAAATTCATCCAAGGTTGTACAATCTTATACCAAAAGCAAGCATATATCATATTTTGTCTGGTTTTTCCAGTATCTTTCAATCTGTGAAAAACTAATTTGAATACTGAAGTGAAGATTGGCTTACGTTGGGTGACCCTCCCCCTCAAAGCAAACCCTAAAACAAGGATTTGGGTATAGAGTTTATTGAGGAGGTGATCCCAGGAAACACAGTGAAGGAATGGGGGAGAGTGAAAAAGTGATAACAAGAAAGGCAATGTATCAAGAAGGGGCACTTCTGAGGGCAAGAAGGACTGGGACCTTGTAGAGACCTGTGTGGTACATGTCTCAGAATTGTCCCACTGAGGGGTGTGGAGGCTGGGGCAGTTATCCATCAACTCCCATAACTCAATAGTTGATCACTCCTAGGGCATGAACTTCCCAGCACTCCCTCTGCCCCTCTTCGGTGACCAGAGAGGTCAATAAGGGAGATTCAGGAAGCTTTTGACGGGCTCAGGAATTGTCTGCAGTGACCTGCAGGTGGCAGAGGGGATACCGGACATGACACAATAGCCTCTGCTATAAAGACCTTCCCAAAATTTGGCATAAAACAATTGCCTTTTCCCTGTGGATAGGAAATAGTTGTAATAACAGCACAAAAATGAATATTTACAGCTATTCGTGTCAATGATGCTTTTACGGAGCTCCACTTGTCCCTTCGCCGGTCGATAACGATGACGAATCCGATGCTCGCAGCCTCCACACTGCAAAAAAGGATGGTCAGTATCAGAGACCAGGTGAGACACGTGGGTTCTGGGCGGGCTCCCTCCCCAGAACATTCTACAGCCTCTGGCGCATGTGTAAACATGCTGCATGGCACAAGGGAAAAACCTGGTCTGACTTCCTGACAAAAGAACCACTTCCTCTCCTGATCTCAGCCTCGCAGCCCTAACAAAACAGAAATACTTGGTGTCTCAAATCGTCTCAAGGGCTCTGTTTATGGCTGGCAAGTGTCTGAAACACCCAAGGAGCACATGTGCTCATACCTAGAGGAAAACGCACATGTCAGGTAGGCATCACATGTCCCAGTGTACACAAAGGAACTCAAGGTTGGGCTCTGCCACCTTTCCACTCCCCAAACTGACATTCATGCAGCTATCAATATGCTTCCATAGGAGTGAGTCCTAGAGGTGTTCAGAAATACCACATGTCTATGGGAAAAACAACCCCCTTCCAATGCCCAGCTATAAACAGCCAGCAAATTATATGCACAAGAAGATATTATTTTCATTAAAAATGAAAGGAAGCTGTTTGGCCCCCTCCTAAGTCCTCACAAAATTCTTTTAAACTAAACTCCCAGAAATGTAAACATTTTTCTTCTTTCTCTCTTTGGGAGGAACTATGATATACAGGAAAGAGCAAGGGCTTTGGATTCTAGTGGCTCAAATCCTCATGCTGCCACTTACTAGCACTGTGACACTGGGGAAGTCATCCACCCTCTCTAAAGCTCAGTTTCCTTATCCATAAAATGAAAACAATACCACCAATAATGAAGTCATTAAAAGGATAAATTCTGAAGCCAGATTGCCTAGGTTTGAAGCATGAATTCCACCATTTATATAGTATGTATGGGGGTGGGAGGTAGAGTTACTTAACCTCTATAGTTTCTAAGAGTCCCCATTTGTAAAGCAGGAAAGAAATAGTATCTGTTTATATGGTTGATGTGAGGATTAAATGAGTATGTATAACAAATATATAAGAGGCTCAAAACAATGCCTGGCACTTGGTACATACACACTGTACATATACTAATATTATGATTATTTCATACGTCCTTGTCATGGCAATGAAAAGAGATCAAGTACATGAAAAGTAGTTGGCCTCTAGTAAACTTTTAATAACTCTCTAATATTGGGCAAAAGATGAGCTTTACCCTAATGAGTGCCTGTATGTGGATAAGGCAGAAGATCTAAGCAAACACTAAGAAAACACAAGTAGCTGATCTGAAGTAGGCATTATTGGGCCAAGCCATTATCACAGTTTTACACTGACCCAGGTTCTCTCACTGGGAACATTTCCCAGGCCACAGTACAAGGACGGATGGTCTCACCAGGTAAAAGAGGAAGAGACTGGGGATTATAAAAGCAAAAGTTGCCAGAACTTGAGGAGGGTGACTGTGAAGAAAGAACAGAGAGGGAACCCCAGAAATCTTCATGGAAGTTCTCCTTTGATGTGGCCAATACCCAGGCCCCACTATTTCAGGCAAGAGTCCAGGAGGCTGACAGAGAACAACAACTACACATGTGAAAACTTATGAAAAGTTATAAAGTTTGCATAGTTCTGGGGAAAGAAAGACAGTTGGCATTGGGCCCACCCAGAATAGACAGATTTTGATGAGCTCTCTGGGCCTTCAGGTGAAACTCTAGAAAGGCAATACTCTAGGATAAATGAAACATCATAGGAATTGCCATAGGATTAAGGCTACACTCTAGGAATAAGGACCAAGCAGAAATGGACTTACCCTAAGAAAACCTAAAAAGCAGGCCTCAAAAAGATCAAGGTGTCTACCAGTAATTTAACTTCCCACCAGATCAAACTCAATACTTTTTATAAGCAGATAAGCCTCTACAACATATCATCTATAATATACAGCACAAAATAAAAAATTAATAGAAATGCAAAAAAGCAAGAAGAAAACAATAATTAAGAGATGAAACAGTCAATAACTATGGACTCAAAGATATTCCTGATTTGGCAGACAAAACTTTAAAGTAATTATGATCAATATGTTAAAAGAAAAAGAGGAAAGGGTAGACAAAATAGATTAAAAGATACATTATTTCAGCAGAGAATTAGAAACTGTAATAAAGAATCAAATGAACCTCCTAGAATTACAAAACACCAATATCTGAAATTAAGAACTCAGTGGATTTAACAGCATACTGAACACAGCAGAAGACAAGATAGGTGAAACTGAAAATATATGAATTGAAAATATTCAAACTGAAACACAGAGAAATGGAAAGGATAGAATGTTAAAGAGATATGGGCCATGAACAGAGTCCCACAAGGAGAGGAGAGAGAATATGTTACAGAAAAATATTTTTTTTTAAAGATTTTATTTATTCATCTGAGACACAGAGATACAGAGAAAGAGAGAGAGGAGAGAGTCTGAGCAGGGAGAGAGGCAGAGGGAGAAGGAGAAGCAGGCTCCTTGCTGAGCCAGGAGCCCGATGTGGGGCTTGATCCCACAACCCTGGGATCATGACCTGAGCCGAAGGCAGATGCTTAACCATCTGAGCCACCCAGGCGCCCCCAGAAAAATATTTTTTAAAAAAAGCAATGAAGAATTTTCCATATCTGATCAAAGACATCAACTCACAGATTCAAGCAGCTCTTCTAATATCAAGCAGGATAAATACAAAGAAAACTTGATCCAGGTATATCAGAGCCAAGTGGCTGAAAATTAAAGATAAGAAGAAACTCTTAGGAGCATCTGGGTGGCTCAGTCGATTAAGCAGCTGCCTTCGGCTCAGGTCATGATCCCAGGGTCCTGGGATCGAGTCCCACATCAGGCTCCCTGTTCAGCAGAGAGTCTGCTTCTCCCTTTCCCTCTGCCTGCTGCTCTGCCTACTTGTGCTCTCTATCTCTCTGTCAAATAAATAAATTTTAAAAAAATATTTAAAAAAAAAAGAAACCCTTAAAAGCAACCAGTAAAAAAAAGACACATTACCTCCAGAAGATTAACATTAAAAAAATTTTTTTTCATTGACTTTTCAACAGAAACTATGGAAGCTACAATCCAATGGAATGTTATCTTTCACGTAGTAACCTGAAAAAAGGACCCATTTAGCATTCTATACCAATTGAAAATTCATTTTAAAAAATGAAGGTGAAATAAGGGTGTTTCCAGACAATTAAGCTGAGAGAGAGAATTTATTGCCAGTAGGCATTCACTTCAAGAAATATTAAAGGATGTTCTCCAGGCTGAATAAAGTTGGAAGCATGAAAGGGGAAGAAAAATAAACAGCCTGAAAAGGAGATTCAGTGCTGATTAGGAAGACTTTCATTCTTATATTTAAAAAAAACAACAACAAAAAACTACTAGAGAGTATTACGCTAAGTGAAATAAGTCAGAGAAAGACAAATACCATATCGTTTCACTCATATGTAAAATTTAAGAAACAAAACAAAGGAGTGAAGGGGAAAAAAAGAGAGAGAGGCAAACCAGGAAACAGACTCTTAACCACAGAAAGCAAACTGATGGTTATCAGAAGAGAAGGGGGTGGGGGATGGGAGAAATAGGTGATGGGGATGAAGGAGTGCACTTGTGATGAGCACTGGGGCTTGTATGGAAGTATTGAATCATTATATTATACACCTGAAACTAATTTTACACTGCATGTTAACGAACTGAAATTTGAATAAAAACATCAAAAAAAAAAAAAAAAACCTTCATGGAAACTGGCTGGGCAGAGGTTAGGAGCTGCACAATGAATGCTGACCCCTCTTCAGTTTAGTTAGTTTTGTTTATTGCCCAAAACACTGATAGTAACAGAGGTTTACTGATATCTAATGGGATGCAGTGTGAGATTAAGGTGTCCATAAAGCAGCTGGTGCAGCAACAACGACAACAAACTGGTTAAATTAAAAACCCATATTTGTCCTTTAAGACATTAGGGAACTCTGAAAATAAAGAAAGGTAAATAAACAAATTCCAGAGAGAGTTAAGAGTTGCTTCCATAGGGAGCAACTACTAGAAGAGGCTTTCATTTCAAGTGGTGGTTGCTTATTCTGATAATAGGCTAATGAATGTCCATCGCTGAAAGGAAATAATCCCACACAGTAACCTGAATCTGCAAAAGGAATGAAGAGCACTGTAAACATTACATATGTGGATTAATATTATCAACGGTATTTTTTTTTTTTTTTTCACGAAAAGACTACTGACTATTAAAAGTGAAAACAGCAGTGCCTGGGTGGCTCAGTCAGTTAAGAATCTGCCTTCAGCTCAGGATCCCAGGGTCCTGGAATCGAACCCCACATAGGACTCCCTCCTCAGTGGACAGCCTTCTTCTCCCTCTCCCTCTGCTGCTCCCCCTGCTTATGCTCACTCTCTCTCTCTGTCAGATAAATAAATAAAATCTTTTTAAAAAAGTGAAAACAATAAGTATTAAATACATTATATGTGTAAAATATATATGTACATATTAAATACATTATATATAGTATTACATAGTATAACACTAGAGAAACCATTGCTTAAAATCCAATAGAGTAGATTAAATGGAATACTGAAAATATTTGAAAAATTCAAAAGAGAGCAGGGGCTATAGACTAAATGTATCCTTCCAAAATTTGTATGTTGAAGTTCTAACTCAAAATGTGGCTGTAATTAGAGAAAGGGCCTGAAAGGAGGTGATAAAGATTAAGTAAGGGCCTAAGGGTGGGTTCCTAATTTGATAGGATTAGTGCCCTTCTAAGAATAGGAAGAGACAGCAGAGCTCTCACTCTGCCATGTGAGAACAAAGGAATACAGCCAACTGCAGCCAAAAAGAGAGCCTTCGCTAGAAATAGAATTAGCCAGAACCCTGATCTTAGACTACTAGTCTCCAGAATTGTGAGAAAATACATTTTTTTCTAAAGATAGATTTATTTATTTATTTATTTATTTGAGAGAGAGAGCGTGCAAGCACATGGTGGGGAGGGGCAGAGGGAGAGAGAAAAACTCAAGAAGACTCCCCACTGAGTGCCGAGCCCAAGT